AGCGGATGGTGTTCAACTTCAGAAAGGTTAGCATTTATATATTGGAACATGAAATATTTAACTAGTGGTAATTTTTTTAATTATATTCAATTGACTTAACATTATTTTTCACTGTGATTGACCACCAATTAGCGAAACCTTCATATACTGCCCATTTACAACCCCCCCCCTCAACACACACACACACACGCACACACACGCACACACACGCACACACACACACACACACACACACGCACACACACACGCACACCTATTGATGTCCGCTGCTCATGTACTTGCAGTCATTGACGCAACTCTTGCATGAAAGAGAGATCACGAAGAACTCTCTAGTCGGTTGTGTTCTACTTTCAAAAAGACAGCAGTAAGATTTAACTGCTCAATGACACTCCAAATTTCAATAAGTCAGTTATGCCGGCCATAGGCATTATATATCAGTTATGAAAATAAACTAGTCAAACTACACTCAACATAACTAAAACCTTCTGCAATTAGCCATATCGAGCGTAAACGCCCAAAATCCTGATATTTATACATACACCTTACATTGGCATCATTCATCTATACATGAACTTGTGGTTAAACTCGACAACTGGCCTCTGTAGTTCAGTTGGTTAAAGCACTGCACCGGAATAGCAGGGCTGCAGGTTTGATTCCTGCCAGAGGACCTCTAGTTGTATTTTGTTAAGTTTAATAAATGTATAAAATTCACACTAGAAATTTCCATCTACAAAATCCTCCCACAATTTATTTTAACAACGATTTTGTAGTAGCAAGTACGTAAAAATGTGTCAATTTCCACCCTAAATACTCGTAACTTCAACGTTTTGCAAATTTTCTACCAATGCTTGATTTAGAAACAATAACACACGAATGTAGTGAATCAACCCAATATTGGTGAATTTCAGTAAGTGCGATGAGGAAGCAGCTAGTGTTCATCAAAGGAACCGCAAACAAATAAAGGAGCATGAAAATTCAACAAGTGAATCTCTCAATTCTTTTTGAATTAAAATTATTTCCACACTCTCATAACTGCTGATTAACCACAATCTGCTGCACAACAGTGCTTAGTGAAACCTACCTACACCGCCCTATAAAAGGCTGTTATGACAATAAATTTGCCAAAGTAGAGTTTAATGGCATTAAATCTACACATGGGAAAAAAGTTCAAACATATTGTCAACCTCATCCCCCAACCCCGGTTTTGTTTGTGTTACTCCGGTCTCTTCACGCATAATTTCTTACCATTTTGTAATTGCGTGCATGAATTTAATATGACACATGCACGTCAGTATGTCACACACCTATGTGGCCACGCCTGTGTTAACACCATTACTCCGTTACTACGAGTATTATTCATGGCCCTAAATTCTTAACCGTATTAATACGGTTCTATTATGTGCACACATCAGTCATGTTGCATGCAATACGGGTGACACAAATGATCTACGATATCTCCACAAACATAGATATATCTATCCTATTGTCCTACATATCTACATTATATTGGATGAAACTCAGTGGAATGACAGACAATAGAGCAACTCTATACATGGGGCCAACATATATATCTATCTTCACCTTATCCCTGGCATCCACTTGTGCACCATTTTCTAACAAATTAGCCACGACATTAACATTAACACCCCACAGATATCCCCGAATGGCTGCGTAATGAAGAGCCGTCTTTTCGTCCTACAAAAAAAATATACAAATTTGAAAAGCCTTGACAGGCTTTATTTCAACTGCAATTTTGCAGTGAGAAACAGGACAGAATATGTTAATCGGCATGCACCCTTGAAACTCGAAACTTAAATATTTTCCAAATTTTCTGCCAATGGTTTGATTTAAAAACAACAACACACCAATGTAGTCAATGTACCCCATATTGGTGGATTTCAGTAAGTGTAATGGGGCAGCAGATGGTGTCAACTTCAGAAAGGTTAGCATTCATATATTGGAACATGAAATATCTAACTAGTGGTAAATTTCTCAAATATATTGGATTGACTGAACATTATTTTTTCACTGTGATTGACCATCATACATCTGCTGCAAGACAGTGCTTAGCGAAAGCTACATATATTGCAAATTTATATACCCCCCCCCCCAAAAAAAAAACTATTGGTGTCCGCTACTTATGCACTTGCAGTCATTGACGCAATTCTTGCACGAAAGAGAAATCACTAAGAACTCTCTAGTCAGTCGTTTTCTACTTTAAGGAAGACAACAGTGATATTTAACTGCTCAATGACACTCCAAATTTGAATAAGTCAGTTATGCCGGCCATAGGCATTATAGATCAGTTATGAAAATAAACTAGTCAACTACACTCAACATAACTAAAACCTTCTGCAATTAGTTATATCGAGCGTAGACGCCCAAAATCCTGATATTTATACATACAGCTTACATTGGCATCATTCATCTATACATGAACTTGTGGTTAGACTCGACAACTGGCCTCTGTAGTTCAGTTGGTTAAAGCACTGCACCGGAATAGCAGGGCTGCAGGTTTGATTCCTGCCAGAGGACCTCTAGTTGTATTTTGTTAAGTTTAATAAATGTATAAAATTCACACTAGAAATTTCCATCTACAAAATCCTCCCACAATTTATTTTAACAACGATTTTGTAGTAGCAAGTACGTAAAAATGTGTCAATTTCCACCCTAAATACTCGTAACTTCAACGTTTTGCAAATTTTCTACCAATGGCTTGATTTAGAAACAATAACACACGAATGTAGTGAATCAACCCAATATTGGTGAATTTCAGTAAGTGCGATGAGGAAGCAGCTAGTGTTCATCAAAGGAACCGCAAACAAATAAAGGAGCATGAAAATTCAACAAGTGAATCTCTCAATTCTTTTTGAATTAAAATTATTTCCACACTCTCATAACTGCTGATTAACCACAATCTGCTGCACAACAGTGCTTAGTGAAACCTACCTACACCGCCCTATAAAAGGCTGTTATGACAATAAATTTGTCAAAGTAGAGTTTAATGGCATTAAATCTACACATGGGAAAAAAAGTTCAAATATATTGTCAACCTCATCCCCCAACCCCGGTTTTGTTTGTGTTACTCCGGTCTCTTCACGCATAATTTCTTACCATTTTGCAATTGCGTGCATGAATTTAATATGACACATGCACGTAAGTATCTCACACACCTATGTGGCCACGCCTGTGTTAACACCATTACCCCCTCACTACGAATAATTTATTATGGCCCTAAATTCTTGACCGTATTAATACGGTTCTATTTGCTGCCGAGCCTCAGCTCGGCAGCACACTATTCTTAACGTTACATGACGTTCTTGCTTTTTCGTGTCCAGTTCCCGCGGCCGAGTTATGTATAGTCGAACAGCGATTTTCACTCGGTGGAGATTTCGGCATTCCAGGGGGCTCATTAAGTATTCAAGTTGGTTTGTAAAATGAGGGGGTTGTTCAACAAAATTTTCTTCAATGATGCGAGCAGGCTACTCAAATATGTGTCTTTTAAGTGTTTCACCCGAAATTTTCATTACATAAAATAGTAATATCTGTATGTTTAGTTCATATACTTAGTGTTTATTTATCGATGTGATGAACCGGTTTAATAAAGTTGCGAATATCGAGGGTAACAGCCTGGGTTCATGCTACCAGCTACCTACTTTATGGCTACCTACTACAAATCGCTGGCTACTATGTATATGAAAGAGTTTAAGAATTTATAAACTATTGTTTGTTCAAAGTCGAGTAATGTATTGTCATTATAATTTTATTTTGACATTAGTCAAATGTCCACAATGGCACAATATGTCTTACAGTATTAAAATTCGCGCAGTACTAGAATTCGCGCAGCGCTGGGTGAGCAAATTTTAGCACTGCGCGAAATATAATCCGCGCGAAAAACGTTGTGGTAGTAAAGATAAAGCGTGCGTTTAAAATAAAAAGAACTAAAACACTTATTGCATGGTTCTCATTTGCCTAATATTAATACAATAATAGTACGACGCGAATTTTAACAAGTAAGGTATGGTATCATATTTCATTATATATAAACAAACAATGTAAACTAGCCATACATTTCGCCGAACATAACTTCGGCCCCTTTGGACATATCTTTTTAGTAATAGTCTCATTCGAACCAGAATCCAAAACACTATTCACAGTGTTATTTTCAAGCTTGTGTCTTCAGATTTTCATCTTTAATTTCGGTATTTACAGAATATTTATATTTTTAGCGCGGCCCGTGAAACGTACATCAAAACAGCTGTTTACATGCTAGGGGTTTGGAAAAACCGGAAATCGATTCTACAGGTCGACTCCCAGTGGCATGGTTTGCACGTGCATCGGGCTATATATGGCCAAGCATACACGTGGCGCGCGCGTGCGAGTAAAAACCCTATATTTTGAAAAATTCAAAATAAATAAATTCTACTCGCCTTATTCAAACGAAACTTCCTACACGAAAGCGCTTTAATACAAGGAGTATTTTACTCATATTGACTCCAGCGACGTGCTGGGGTCTTGAAAAGGACGACGAATGAGCAACGTCTGATGAGGCCCAGGCCCAGTGACGGGATGGATCAAGATTGGGGTGGGGGGTATTACTGATCAAACATGAAACATTTCAGTAATGTTTTCGTAAATTTAGATTTTTTAAATATAAATTGTAATATCTTAATCTTGATTTTCAGAATTAAAATCTATATTTTAAAGTTAAAATCTACAATTAGAAACAACAAAAATCGTAAAAATTCAAATTGAGCTGACGAGAAATTAAGTCGTTTACTGGCACTGACGAGTAAAATTGTCTGGCCTTGATAGCAGGGCCGTAGCAAATAATCGCCCCTGACTAATCAGCTCCCCCAGTACAAAATTGCCAGTCCTACAGGTAGTGGATAGACAGTAAATATTAAAGTATAGCTCATTGCCAGCCGATGGCGGTTAATAAGATAAGTAAAATCGTCTGGCGTTACAGAGTGTAAATTTGTTTGGCGTTAGACAGAGTTAATACTAAAGTGGGCTGCATTGTCAGCTAATGGGTATGGCGTTTATCCACTTTTGACCCAATGGCAACTTTTTCATGTTGGTTATTTACTGATGTTCCGTGCACGCAATTTAAGAATAAGTTCATTGGGTCAAAAGTAAACTCCCCTTTAGAGTGGTTTTGCATTCAGTTCATGTGGCAAAAAAGGCAGCACTTTCCTTACGATAGTAACTCCTAGTAAAGTAATTATTTGTGTGAAATGATAACCATTTTTGTAAAATATACAGTCAATTTACATCCAATTTGTTTGCGAATTTGCTTTAGAAAACGCCAGAATTGCAGTCCTAGAGCTTCAAAAATGGAACAATTTTTTGGGAGAGGAGCCCCAAGCCCCCGTTTTCTCCCGAAACTTAGCTAGTATGACAGTGCAAGTCATTATCACAAGAAGCTTTATTATAATTATTACACTTTAGGTAAATATTTATAAATTAAAAATTCAAATTTCAGGTAAAATCCTCCGACAACTCCCCCCCCCCCCCAAACTTCAGATGCTTTACTATGTTCCTGTACACTGACGAGTACAATAGTCAAAAAAATAAAAAAAATTCCCTAAGGGATTTTTAAAATGGCCGAAAAAAGATAAAATTTGAGCCTTATCCTAAGCACGCTGTTGCCATGGTAATGTTCAGGAGAGCATTTTGCACAGCACATTGCAATGTTCAGGAGAGCATTGTTAATGTGTCCAATAAATTTCGTCTTCGTGTCATGTAAAGTGAAGAAACAGGCGTTTTCTGGATACAAAAGTGTAGTATAATGCAAAAACCCTATGGAGCCACCTTAAAATAGTTTTTTTTTATTATTATTTTATGACTTTTAAACACAGAAATCACTCGTGGTCACTCGTGGTCATTCGTGGTCACTCGTGGTCATTCGTGGTCACTTGTGGTCACTCGTGTGTACTTTTAGACAAGATCCTTAGGATACCACGGGAGATTTATACGTCGCCCACGGTCTGTTTACAACGCCAACTGGTAAACCAGAGCTTTTACGTCCTGTGACCTGTGTACAACGTTTGCATTTTAGTTAGAAGTGGATACCCATGCAGCAAATTGGTTCAGTACTAATGTGGAATTCTACTCTGTTTTAATCTCTTCAAGCTGTTTTAAATTCATACGTTTGATAATATACGATAGGCTTTCTACAATAATTTATTTGAATGTTTGCCGTCGGCTGTTAGGTCTCTAATATATAAGAGAGATAAATGATTTTGACTATGTAGCTACCTTTACCATTATAACTATGCAATTAATCTAAGTACCAGATTTACTAAATGAGAGGTTTCCGTAGTGGTATGGTGGTGGTATAGAGCGTTTGCACATGACGTCACAACCACTATGTTGGTATTCCAATTCAAAAGAATTTTAATTGACTCTTTTGTCTGGACTGACCAACATGGCCGTCATGGCTTTTGTTGAGTTGGTCCCTCGGGAATGAGTGTAAACGCTCTACAGGGTGTCCCAAAAAACCCGCAAAACCATTGAAATAACGTATTGTTAAAATTTGAATGCCCTAGCACTAATAAGCTGAACCGGCGCAAAGATGCGTAAAATATTGACAAGGTTGCATATATTAAATATTGACTTATTAAGAAATTAAAATATCTTTGTAAAGCGCACAATTTTCTGCTCTTGGGAATTTAAAACAACTTCTTAAACAGTTTCTTGTGCATAAAATTTACTTACGTCAAGCTTTGAATCCTTTGATTCACGTGTGCCGTTCAGCAGAGGCAAAGAATTTAAATAAATTCTAACAATACATTTATTTCAATAGTTTTCGGTTTTTTGGGGACATCCTGTATACAGTGTGTATAAAAAAACTGAATCCTTTCAAGCCATTAGCTCTAACGTATTGTAGTAATTTGACAGCTCTAATTAATGATTGGGTAAGAACTCAAGGTCTTGTACTCATGGACAACTCAAAGAAATAAAAATTAGAAAATTTAAAAGAAATACATGCAGTATTTCTTTTAAATTTTCTAATTTTTATTTCTTTGAGTTTTGTCCCGTGAGTACAAGATCTTGTGTTCTTACCCAACCATTAATTCAAAGCAATTATAGAGCTGTCAAATTACTACAATACGTTATAGCTTCAGTTTTTTTTATACACACTGTAGATTAATTCGCTTTGAAGGTAAGGCCTATACAATTTCGATTGCTATAAAATCTACTATCGGTGACAATGCAGCTAAAAAAGCCTCAACATTAATACAAGATCTTATATGATTAGTGTTTTATCAGTCCGTAATCTTTCTGACGTAAATTGTCCAGATAACACTAGCTACCCTGAAGAAAATTATGCATTTAGTTTCGTCCCAGTCTCTTGTTCAGAAATAAGGAACATATCAGCTATATGCCGTCAAACAAATCACCCGGCAAAGACAAAGTGAGTATGCGTGTCATCGAACACAGCTTACCGGTTATTCCTGGGCCCCTCACCGATATCATCAACTGTTCACTGACGTCATCTTCGTTCTTTAAAGCATGGAAAGAGGCAGAAGTTATCCCTTTGTTAAAAAATGGAAACCACGAGGAAGCATCAAATAATCGTCCACTTTCTCTCCTTATCTTTCTTTCGAAAATTTGTGAAAAAGTCGCCTGAACTCAATTAATTTGGCTCATACCTAATGAGACTGACAAAAACGGGAACAAGCTAGAAACATCACATATGTGAAACACTGAATCTATTGACCGGACTACCATGCATTCTAAAGGCTATGGAAGAGAAATTAATTACTGCACTGATTCTATTAGACTTATTAAAAGCCTTCAACAGTGTAAATCATACTTTTCTCCTTACAAAACTTAGCAACGTCGGGGCTTCTCCAAGCGTTGTAAAATGGTTTGAGAGCTAGCTACCTGACCGGAAGAACACAAAGAGTTAGAATTGGATCAACTGTTCTATTCCTCTCCCTGTTTCTTATGGTGTACCACAGGGTGCAATTTTATCACCTTTACTTTTTAGTATTTATCAACGATTTGCCCTCATCACTCCATCACAGTAAACTTGAATCGTACTATATCTTTTACTGTGGTCGACGTGGATTGTTTATAACGCAACAATCGGCTAGAGGTAGACCTTTATTTGGTTGCATGCTAATCGTTGTTCTGAAAATGAAATGCTTATTAACCCGGGAAAGACCCGCCAAATACATGCTGATTGGTACACAGCAAAACCTTCAACAACTTCCCGAAGATATGACCATAAATTTCCTCAACGAGACTATTATCCCTGTTCCTTTTGCTAAAGATCTAGGAATGACACTCGATTCTTATTTGACATATGACCAGCACATCACCAATCTGGTTACCTCATGTATGAATTCCCTGTGCCAAACTCTTATCGTCTGGGCACTTTTAATGAACAAAATGTTTTATTGTTCAACGGTTTGGTCAAACACTTCGTCTGCCAATATTAATTAGAAACTTGACAGTTAGTGCAAAATTTTGCGTGCAGGATAATAACAAATATATATTGGAAACGTTTGACCATATTTCGCCAGGCTTACGTGAATTCAACAGGTTTCCAGTGAAGGATCAATTACCACATACAGAAGCTATTGTATGATGTACAAATGTGTCAATGAACGTGCTCCTAAGGCCGTAGCGAGGGGGAGGGGAGTGGTTAACCTCCCCCCCCAACAATCTGGTTGCATGGCCATTCGGAAAATTACGGCAATAATAGTATAACGAAATTTTAGTTGTTAAACAGAGAAAATATTATAGAATTGTATCGTCAGTATATAAACTGATTTACAAAATCATGGCATTTACGTACATGGATAACAATTTACAATTTACAAATCGTAAATCGGGTAAATGTTTTTCGGTTTATTACTTCTATATATGTCTTTTCTATGTAATATTCCTTAAAATACTGACAATTGATTAATTTTAAGCGGTTATATTATCCATCACTTTTTTAATCACTATATTTTGTAGTTAAATAGTGATTAACTCTCAAATACGCGCTTCTTATTGGATGACGTTTGCACTTAATTATAGTTAACTTTAATCACTTTTTTATACAACCGGCCCCACTCCCCAGTCATTTATGATGGGAATTAATCACAATAAAAGTCATACTGCATGGCAGAAATATGCATGTATATAGCTATACAGCGTTTTTAAAACAGTATAGTACTATAATGTAAGAGTGGGACTCGCGCCACTCGCTGCAAGAATAATAATTGATCATCATATATATAAGATAACGTCGATAATGCTTCGTGATCTGTAGAAATAACATTCGTGATCTGTAGAAATATTGCAAATATCAAGAATTGCTTTATACAGGGTGTATCAAAAAAAGCGCAACCTCGGAATTTCCCAAGACATCGACATTGTTTTAAAGACAAAAGATTTTAGGCGCCTGGGAATTTAAAATAACATAACTGTCAAAATTACTGCACACACGAGTGCATATACTGTACAGGGTGTCTCAAAAAAACCCAAAATCATTGAAATAACGTATTGTTCGAATTTCAATGCCCTAACACAAAGGATTTTGACAGGGTGATTAATTTGTTTTAAAAAATTAAAATATCTTTGTAAAGTGAACGTTTGTTTGTTCATGGGAATTTAAAAATGCTTCGTAAATTGTAATATGCGTAATATGCATTCGTGGGTTTAGTACTTTATGCCTGACATAACAAGTTTACGCTGAGTATTACCATTCATTATAGCAGTTATGTCAATCTTTTATGCACTCGTGGGATTAACTTAGTGCTAGGGCATTGAATATCGAACAATACGTCAATTTCAATGATTTTGGTTTTTTTTGAGACACCCTGTATAGCAAAATTTATGCATTTATTTAATGCACAACAACAGTAATATGATCTAGTAGCAATTCGATTTCAATTCCCAGGGGCCTAAAATCTTTTATGCTTAAGAATTGCAAAGTGATTTCTTAGGAAATTCCGAGGTTGCGTTTTTTTTTATACACCCTGTAGTAGACTAAAGTGTAAAACGGACGTAATAGAATGTGCATGGGAACAGAAGTGCCTCGGGAGCCTGAAGTTTTTTCTGCATCATTATGAGTTTCAAACTTTATCTTAGGATTCATAATTCGCCAAAATCAATTAGCTAAACTAAAGTCTAACCTGCTCAGCAATTAGTTGCGCATGAGAGATCTACAAAGAAATAGAACAACTCATCAAACAAAAAATAGGATAAATGTTGTATTAAATATCACCTAATTGCTATAATATAGTTATTCAATAATGCAAACTACAGCTGGGAGATTTAGAGCGCTAGCTTAAATTATATCGAAAGGTGAACAAAAACAGTGTAGCTCATCGCTGCTTCAATTCAATATGGGAAGATCTAGTAGGAAGTTTTGGAAGTGGCAGGTTCTAACCATTGTAGGTAAGTTTAGGTTTGAAGCCTTCAGTATAAGGTTTGAAAACGACAGTATTTGAACCATGCCAATTAAATATTTGTTCACTTGACAATATAATCGTGTTTAATCGATGTTGTGTACCGTATCAACTATATACTCTGTAAACAATTATCGGTATAGCATTGCGGTGTTTGCAAAACTGTATATACGTTTGATTTTTTTTCTGTGCTGGTTTTGTGTACTCAGGTGAATAATTATGATATGTTTGTGATGTTACTCTTTGTTTAACCTCGCTGTCATGCAGTTGCATTTGAGTTTTATAACTGTTTAAGTTTGTGAAAAACTATATTCATAATGACCATATGACAGTCGCTTGTTCCAAAATATATTTTTCCGTTTTGAAGCATGCATATACCATAAGTATGTAGGCCATGCTCTATTTTCAAAGCATGATCATTATTAACTGGAGCTCTACAGATAAAAATTCCGCGTGTATAATTATACACACGCCCTGGTCGAAAGGTCTATCAGTTTCAGCTAGGTTATTTAGTTCAAGCCTGGGGCTGGGATGGAAACTTTCCATGTAATGAGGTCGCTAAAACTGCACTTTTTAATTTCACCGGCTAATTATTCATACTTTAAATAGTTGCCTATAACTCGAAAAGCTTATCTTTTGTGTATTATATAGTATCACTACTAACTGTGCCAACTCGAGGAATGGAGGACTACAAATTATTGAAAAAAGAGGTAAAATAGTGTGAGAAAAACTGAAATTTTACGTATAGCTTCAAATTTGCTAGTTTATTTGAGTTTATTGAAGTTCGTCACAAGTGTAGAACTATAAAAACTGGCATGGGTGACAAAAAAGAGAACAGGCTATACCCCTGTCCCTTTGACTAGGTCATAGTACTGCAGATTGCCTGCAGATTAATTAACCATATGGCAAAAGCTGTAGACTGTATATAGAAAAGAGCGGTACACAGTTTAAAGAGGACCCCCATTCAAAGTCTAGACGGAGTGCAGGGGAGTCGGGGACTACTCAGAAGATGTAAAATTTCCGAAATGCTTAAACTTTGCCATTTTGCATCCTTGCTCGGGACTCCTAATTTACCTGGGGTCCCCAAAGAAGGATTTCGCCCTTGCATCGTCAAACTTTCTTAAAGACTTCGAAGCAAGATCAAGGAGATGCAGAACAAATGTCATTCAGCAAAACACCTATATAAGAGGCTCGAATGTCAATTTATGTTGTTTTTTATTCCAGACAAAGGATTTTAAAATTCACGAAATGATGAATAAAGAGGAACTGATTAAGTATTTTGCTGTATCCAAACCACACGAAGGTGAGTTCCGCCAAGACTCATTCATCAGTCCGAGTGGCATTAGAAAACAAAACTGCCTGGGGCAGCTTGGACTATACAATTATTTTATGGTTTCCGTGTTTGGATGGCCCAATCCAAACACGCGGGAATGTTGCGAGAGTTAAGAAAAGCGCGCGAAACACGAGCCGAAGGCGAGTGATTTTGCGCGCTTTTCTTATCTCGAGCAACATTCCCAAGTGTTTGGATCAGGCCATCCAAACACGGAAACCATAAAGTAATTGTTTTATAAAACTAGTTTACCCACAGGGTAGTGAATGCTGCCTTGTTATAGCATTGTTCCCAAATCTTTAGTATTTTAAAGTATAAGAGTAAGAAATATTTGTAATCACCATTCCCCAATTAACCAAAATTTTGATCTCAACAAGTCTAGACAAAATTCCATCATAGCATGAAAGAGCATCTATTTATTAAGCAATCGTGAGATTATATACATGGAAAGAATATGGAAATTATGTTAAAAGCACCCCGTATAATGACGAAAGCACCGCGTATAATGCTCGAACCACTGCGTATAATGGCGAACGCACCGCGTATAATGGCGAAAGCACCACGTATAATGCTCGAACCACTGCGTATAATAGCGAAACCACCGCGTATAACGCTCGAACCACTGCGTATCGACAAAATGCCGTTTGATCACTTACGCCAGCTATGGCTTTCCATAAAGAAAACCAAAGATGAAAGATGATCACATTGCTTGTTTGCCTTATCATATGCCTGTTTATTAAGCAAGATTACAGAATAGCCTGCCGGCCCGGGAGCAGTGCATTGTGGTAGGCCGAAATACGCCGAAACGATCGAGATTTCATCTGCCTTATATATATATATATATATATATATATATATATATATATATATATATATATATATATATATATATATATATATATACCGGGTGTCCCAAAAAAAAGTACGCCGGTTTGATTCGTAATTACTTCTAAACAAGTACAGCTTTTAAAGAGAAATAACTTGCATCAAATAGAGAAAAGACTGACTTAGATTTTGACATATTACTGTTGTATTTCACTTAAAAATTCACGGAGATATTAATGCTTAAAATCGGAAGCATATTTCTGGATTTGTCTGAAATGTGCAAAAAAAACGGCGTATCAAATATTAATCAAGATTTGCCCAACTGAAACATGCACTATTACCAGTAAATAAATGACACTTGACAAATTGTTTATTATGAAACAAAGGATTATTATCTACAAAATACAAGCAAGATTTATTCGTCCGAAATCCGCGTGTGTTCCTAGCACGAATACGTTTCCTTATTTCATGAGACCACTGCATCGCGAAGGATCGTCATGGATCGTTCGTAGTTCTGAATTAGGGCATGCTGTCACAATGGAATTGTGAAGCTCTTCTAACTTCTGCAACGTTCTGAAATCTTGTTAAGAACACCCGAACTCTTTTGCCTTTTCTTAATCTTGGCAAGTTCAGAATAAACAGAGAATGAAACACAATCAAACCATACAACTCCATAAGACATAACAAGCAACTCCCCAGAGACATCCAACATTTTTGGAACAAAACGTAACAAAATAGTAGCGTTGATACTCTGATGTGTATTTGCAAAAAGCAATATTATTTCCTTCATTAAAGAATAATATTCATCTTGCTATAACCAAGAAATAATCAACTGTTTTGAACTCATGAAAAACATAAAAAAATTAGGCTATTTAAGAAAAGCTATTTAAGCGCCTGCCTTGCATGGTCTTTCATCTACTTTTAAGTTTGTAAAAACCTATTAAATACTTGCATAATTTCGAACGTTCATATTTCAGGAAACAATGAGCTAAGACTTACAAGTAAGTGTTATGTAAGATGTATAAATCTACGCCATATCCCTTACAAACCCTAACGATAATTCGCTGAAATACAAGTTAGCCTGATATGTCATTAAGCAAACAAACGCTGGAGTTAATATTTGATATGCCGATTTTTGCTAATTTTAGACACATCCCAAAATATGCTCCCGATTTTGAACATTAATATATCCGTGAATTTTTAAGTAAAATACAACTGTAATATATCAAAATCTAAGTTAGTCCTTCCTCTATTTAACGCAAGTCATTTCTATTTGATAGCTTTACTTGTTTAGAAGTTATTATAAATCAAACGGGAGTACTTTTTTTTGGGACACCCGGTATATATATATATATATATATATATATATATATATATATATATATATATATATATATATATATATATATATATATATATATATACATATACATAAAGATTAGGACTGCTGCCTCGCTCGCTCGCTTCATGCTCGCTCGCTACGGCAGCAATAACAACTTTCCGTGTTAAAATTTCACTTTAAAAAACTTTCACTTTAAATTTCCGTGTTTGGATGGCTTGATCCAAACACGGGTTTCGACCAATCAGAGCACGCGTTATATACATGTTATTTTATAATACTTTTTACCACAATTTTGTAGTTATTAAATAATAGTTACTCTAAAATACGCAACTTTGATTGGTTAATTAACTATCGCACTAACTGTAGTTAACATTTTAAACTACCTTTTTAAACAACCAGACCGTGTTCGTATCCATGAGGTCGTATCCATGAGAACGAGCCTCGTTTATATGTTTACCTTTATTGTACACCTACAAGTTTTTAATGCTTTTAAATTAAACTAAAAAATTAAACTTCACTAATTAACTGCGCCTTAAGCCGGTTGCAGACGAGCAAGTTTTCTATTACAAGTTTCTATGTGACAAGTTTTATTTGCCAAGTGCACGTGTGTATATGCAACACATTTTATATGACAAGTTTTCATATGACAAGTTTTACTTACTGGTGTGAACGTGTCAACAAGTTTACTTTGACAATTTATTAGTAGCCAGCTGGCCAATCACATCAAATGCTCAGATTACTTTGACAAGTTTTCTTTGTTGACCCATACAGACGAACAAAATTTGTACTTTGACATTTTTTTCTATGACAAGTGCACTTGTCAGTCAAAAGCTAACATGCTAGCAATTGTCAAAGTTGCGTGTACAGACGAACAAATAAAACTTGTCACATAAAAACTTGTCATAGAAAACTTGCTCGTCTGTAACCGGCCTCTAATTAACCCCCGTATCAACAGTGTGATCATGGTCTCTATGTAGATACTGTATATATTCCGTGTAAATTGGAAATTGTTATGCTAAAATAATAAATTTTGTTTCATTCTTTTACACGCAGTTCCAGATTACGATATCTCTTATCCAACATCAGTGAATGACGAAGGTCATGAACTACAAGAGCACGAGATCTTTAAAAGAAACCTAAACCCTTCAATTGAACAAAGGTTTTACCATATGGATGCGTTTGGTAAAAGATATCTTTTGAACGTAACAAAAAATGAGAATTTACTTGGACCGAATTTCCACATTGAGATGAGAAATCCGGATGGGTCAATTAGTGTTTCCGGTGCTCCTCATCGTAATTTTTATCATGGACATCTGTTCTCTAAACCTGATTCCTTCGTGGCTGTGAGTGATAATCAAGGTTTGGTAAGTGTCCCTAAAGCTGAGATTATATACAAAAATATATAAAAATAAATTGAATCATGTAATAAAAACAGCAAAAAAGAAATATTATGAAGAACAACTAATAAAATATACAAGCATAATACAAAATGCTTATGGAAAACAATTAATGAAATTATGAATAAACATAGAAACAATAGAATTTTACCAAAGCAATTCAACGGAGACTCTCCAGATGAAATCATTGATGATCCATACAAAATAGTAAATAAATTCAACGAGTATTTTGTAAATATTGGACCAGGTCTAGCAAAAAAACTTCCAGACAATGAAATAACCTTTGACAAATATATGACTAATAAGAATAATAATGATTTTTTTATTGAGCCAGTAACCAAATATGAAATCGAAATTGAAATACAAAACTTAAATTCCAAAAAAAGTCCAGGCTATGATGGTATAAGTTCACAAGTTATTAAGACAATTGCTAAGGAAATTTCTGAAACCTTGTCACACATATTCAACTTGACTTTCCTTAGTGGAACTATTCCTAATGGCCTAAAAATAGCTCTAGTTACCCCAATTTACAAAGCAAATAAAAAAAAATGAATTCAAAAATTATCGACCAATTTCTGTACTCTCTTGTTTTTCTAAATTACTAGAAAAATTAATGTGTAAGAGATTAATTAAGTTCATTGAAAAAAATAAATTATTAACACATAGTCAGTATGGTTTTAGAGAAAATAGATCCACCGAGCATGCAGTCATTGAAGTTGTTGACAAAGTTAGTAAAGCAATCAATAAAGGTGAATACACTATAGGAATCTTTCTTGACTTGTCAAAGGCCTTTGACGCTATTAATCACAAGATTCTGATTCAAAAACTGGAACACTATGGTATACGGGGAATACAACTATGGTTTAAAGATTATTTGGAAAATAGAAAACAAATAGTGAAATATGATCAAGTTAGGTCAAATGAAATGGTGATTAGAAGTGGGGTTCCACAGGGATCAATTCTTGGACCAATTCTATTTTTGCTTTACATAAATGATATTGAACAGTGCAGCAAATTACTTTCATTCATATTATTTGCTGACGACACTAATATATTTTATAGCAACAGCTGTCTTAAATCGCTTAATGTAATCTTACAAACTGAAATTAACAAAGTTACAGAATGGTTAAACGTCAATAAATTATCTCTAAATATCCAAAAGACAAAATTCATTTTATTTAGACCTTCTAACAAAAACCAAAACATGAAATTCAAATTATTATGAATGATGTAAATGTAGAACAAGTTAAAAGTACAACATTTCTTGGTATCATCATTGATGAATGTCTGATATGGAATGATCATATAACTAATGTTTCAAAAAAACTTTTGAAAGCGTCCGGAATAATAATGCTAAAATTAGACATTTCTTAAATCGAAATGCTATCAAACTAATTTATTATGCATTGGTCTATCCATATCTGATTTATGGCAATTTAATTTTGGGTAGCACATACAAAACCCGAATTAATAAAATAATGAATATCCAGAAAAAAAATGTACGTTTAATGACATTTAAGTCGTACTTGGAACACACTGAGGCTATATTCAAAGAATTACATATACTTGATATTTTTAAAATCAACAATTATTTAACTGCTTTATTTATGTTTCGATATCATCATCTTAAAAATTTAGCAGAATATTTTACTAACTACTTCGTTACAAACGAGAAACGCATCAAAACTTTTTAAATGTTATAAGAGAACAAATGATGTAAAACACACTCTTTCAAATAAAGGAGTTGATGTGTGGAACAAATTAGAAACAAATCTGAAAGACATAAATTTCTATAATACCTTCAAGAAACTAATTAAGCAACACTTGATACTAAATCCAGTTACAAATACATAGATTCAGAAATCACACTTTCTTTATGCAGACAATGTCTGTCCATGCATTGTCATTATGGAAAAAATATCATATAATAATCTAACTAGTATATCTCTTTATCTTAATATTGTAAACACTACAGTATTTACCCTTCATACCACAAATTTGTAAATATCTTGTATATACCTTGTAAAACTTTTCTTTTGCAATTAATATTATCTTAAAAATTACTGTAAATAATAAAATAATCTAAATAGGACATGACTAGTGGCCTAGAAACAAAAGCATGCAAAGGTTTCTAGTAGGTCTCTAGCCCAAATAGTTAATTTGTAATAATGTATTAATAATTGTAATGTACATGGGAAAATAAATTTGGGGGCGATTTTGACAAAATTTGTTTTGTCAATGTGCATTAACTTTGCTGATATTTGCTGGAACGGTCTCAAGGAATTTGTCCAAGATTGTAGCTGTAGGTCAGGAAGTCTTTATGTTATAGTTAAAATATGAGCGGCTAAAAATGCCCATAAGATCAGTTGCGAGTATTTTAACGAACTTGTGAAATGAACCAAGGCACGCGCGCTTCATGAGCATGCATTTACAGCGTTAATACATAGTGATACTTGCGTTTTAATCAAAATATATAAATCGCCGTTCTGCTTCTGAATTAGTATTTATAACTTTCATAAACTTCCCTCTATACTCTCTATTGGCTCTGCCACTGTTTTAGAGTGGTGCAATTAGAACATCGGCGGACGAAATGCTTTTTGTGCAGCCTCTTGCCAATCGTTTGTTTGAAGGATACAAGTCTTTGTCAAAACAACGACCTCATTTGGTAGTTAAACGCACAGTCAAAGAATTAAATCAACTGACAGAGCAAATTTTTGAAGAAGAAGGTTTGTTGATGAATAAAGTAACGGATATCATGCAATGCGCACATAAACGAAAATTATCATTTTTAGTTCATTACTCTTTCAAAGATGTACTTACACCTTTTCTATTGCAGTGATTTGCTACTATATTATTTTCAAAGAAACTAATTTCTATAATAGGGAGATTCTTCATCTGTTATTTGACGAAGCCCAAAATCAAAAATGTTGGATCAATCCTACTTTCTCTCCATATCGTCTTTATACCTGCATGCAATATCAAACTATCTATATAACAACTAATTTCATTACCATGTCACATTATTTTTCCACGCTAGAGCTTCCAAAACCGCAGGAAGACTGGGACTATGCCGAATCTGAAATCACTGATTATCATTCTCAGCACAAATTCCTAGAAGTAATCTACGTTGGGGATCACTTGATTACTCAACAGATTGGGTTAATTGAATTACCTGAAATGTTGCTGATTATTGGAAATGTGGTAAGGCACAAAACTCGAGTACGGTACTCAGTGGATAAAGAAACTTTACATGAAGACGACGGTGTGGGAAGGGAAGGTGCATGGGAAAATTAGTTAAAAATATTCAGATCAAACACAACTTGGGGCATGTTGTCCTTATCTATTCAACCATGTTTTAATGTTCACAAAACAGTATGTTGACCACCATCTTTACTCAGAATGGCTATAGAATTCTATAGAATAAGAATTCCAAATTAATGCAAAATGTTCTATTTTACATGTCAGCAGGGGCGTAGGAAGCTTCGAAAAGTTGGGGGGGGGGCAGGCTTTGAGGGGCACTTTTCGAAAAAAAAGGGCATGGCTAAAAATTATTTTTGGCGACCTCTCCCCCCCGTCGCCAAAAAATTTCGGTCAGTGTACCATTTTAGGGGTCAAAATATTTTCCGGACATACCAAAAAAAATTTTCCGGATATACTACATTTTTTCCTAAATACGAAAAGATTTTCCGGACATACCAAAAAATTTTCCGAATATATGATATTTTTCCCTGAAATTAAAACATTTTTTCGGAAATAACATTGATTGAAGTTTTCAAAAGTGCCCTTTGGGCTAAAAAATGCAATTTTAATGAAAATGTTTCACGCAAAAAAGGGCACTTTGCTCCTGGAAAAAGGGCACTTGCCAAAATGAGAATTATTACTGATCAGAAGTTCAATATGGTTCTATAATTTACTTCACATTTTCAGGAAATCATACACTTCATTGCAGGTTGCAAGGATGTTTACCGACAGCACATTTGGTGAAAAGAAAATAACTTACGTCATAACAAAAATAGTGATTTTGAGCAACGGAGAGGTACTGAAAAAATAGGTTTGGAAGCGCTTTCAACTATAGCTTAATAACTATGCAGAACAAATATGATATGTACCAAACAATTAACTTGCTTCATTTAATAATTGTATTTTTGCGTTTCGTTTAGCTTAAATATTTCAAAAACGCTACAAATGGCGCAAAACTAACAGCATTTGGTCGTTGGATGAGAAAAACTAACCCCGCTGATGACGAAGATCCAAATCACGTAGACATTGGCACATTATTCACGAGGTAGATCTGTATTTCTAGTATTTCCACCCGTCATTGAGATTCGTTATCGTGTATGGAGTGAGTCAAGTGTTACGATCTCGCCCTTGACTTTTAGGCAGTGGCAAAGGCAGCATAAGCTAATTGCAGATCAGGGGCCCAGGATCAGGGGCGGTGCTAAAGCATGTGTGGGGGGTGGGAGGGGGGGGGCGGAACACCTCATTCAGTCACTAGATAGTCGGGAAAATATTGAAAACTAGTCAGCAAAACATGGATTTGGATAGGAAGAAAAAATTAAAATATTTGAGTGACACCAATAATAGAAAATAAAGACTGATAGCTAAAATGTGGAGAAATTCACGAAAACATTAAATGGAACGAACAGATAATGATAAATATGTTGTGGATCGGAATTTTTTTTTTATGTCAAGCCGCCGTCCCCCTTGCAGTGAGCCGGCAAAATTTCCCTTGATAACTCGGCAAAATTCACTTGCTGTACATCCCCTGCCCGTTCGAAGAGGTCTAGCGCCGCCTCTGTCCAGGAATATTGGAAGTTTGTTGACTCCTCAACCCGAAAATTTCTGATTTGCTATTTTCTGTAGCAAGCTAAGTGCAAGATCCTTAAGGATTGTCGTTTATATACAAGTGCGAAAGTTAAGTTTAAGTGCGAAAAACACGGTGAATAAATGGATACAATATACATACTTCCGACACGCCGTAGTTGTTACAGTCACTATATGTCCCACAAGCTGTTTTGGTTTTGCGTAAAAAAGCGATTTATAACTTAGGAATTCCCATGAGTTTCACCTATTTCGTATTTTATTCGCCCGTCTAACCCAATTCAGTAGCAAACCCGGAAGAATTTATTGGATTCTTTTAAGGTTGCAGAAAGTTGTTGGTAAATACAGGGTGTCTCAAAAAAACCGCTACCCTTGGAAATTCACCATTGTTCTAATTTGAATGCCTGAGTGCTATCTTGAACTCATGGGTGCATGAACAATTTGAATGGAATTTTATGCTTGAGAAGTTATTGAAAAGTTTCTGGTTTTGTTCAGCATATGACTGATTGATTTAAACGCAACAAAAATACGTAAGTTAAACAAAACGTTGTTTATTTTTACAATTATTAAGCACCTCGTCCTTCGACGTGGCCCCCATTTCTCTCAACACAAAGTAATGTTCGTCTATGCATATCACGCACGGCTCGGCTAATGAGGGCAGGCTGTTGTCGTAAAGCATCAAACTCTTCGATGATTCTTTGGCGAAACGCATCAATAAAGGTTCAGGCATTCAAATTAGAACAATGGTGAATTTCTAAGGGTAGCGGTTTTTTTGAGACACCCTGTACACTTATATCAATGTTTAACTCCTTTGGGAATTAAATCACAAATATTAGGCATATAATTGATTAGCAAAATATAACAATTAGATGCATGGTGCTAACATTTATGCATAAACAGTCAGCCTCATAATAACAACACGCCCATTAGAGAGTCGGTGTTTTTAACATAAGTGCACAACTTTAATTGAATTAGCTCTTGGAATATTTTTTCTTACCTCCCTCCCCACATTTTCTGCTCGGGCCGAGCAGATCGGCTATTAAGCAAAGTAGTATTGAAGAATAATAGAGGGAAGATCTCCTAATTTCGCCACTGCTCCTGGAAAGGGACTCGCGAAATTCAACTACTTAAGTACTTAACAAATAGATAAATAAGATTTTGCCGTTGTCTGTTCAGTTATAGATACACATGCAGTCATAATGTAGGAAGATCAAACTTCATATCCTGGACAGGCCTAGGGGCGGCGCTAGACCTCTTCGAATGGGTGGGGGGTGTAAGTGAATTTTGCCAAGTTATCAAGAGAAATTTTGCTGGCTCACTACAAGGGGGGAGGTAACAGCGGTTTAACATAAAAAAGCGAGTCACTTTTCGTTCTTCGCACTGAACAGACAACGGCAAAATCTTATCTATTTGTTTTATATAATAAAAAGAAAACCCCGAGTTAAACACCCAAACATTTGGAAATTTGAAAAAGTCGAAATTTTACAAATATCACGCGTACATGATCTATACAAATAGGGGAATTCTATTGACTGTTATGATTGGCTGTACAGAACAGAGGCCGCAGCTGATCAAATTGCTTATTTTTATTCGAAATATAAATACAAATTTATCAAAACAACATTATTTAAACGTAAGAAAAATATTCTGTTTTAAAAATGGACTTTTGTAATTTAGAGGAGCTAATTCTTGCCTTGTATAAAGAAAATCACCTTCAAACAGATTTACTACCCACTTGGTATTTCTCTTCGTAGCAGGCGACTGAGACTGCGCGAGAATTTGCATGGGAAAGCCGCTCGCTGGTTTTAACGTAAGTTAGCGAACTGGCTTCTCGTCTTTTGTATCTTTTGTTGCTCTTCGTATTTGTCAACAGCTTTCACGGTCGTCTTTGCCCAGTCAGGCATAAATTCAATGGAGACGAGTTTTCAAATATTTCCGCCATTCAAGTTTATTTAAAAACCAAAACAAAGTTTTGCGTGAAGTAACTTCGTACGTCTATCCTCTAATATCATGATCATGGCTCCCGACCAATGAAAGCGCTTCGGAATTCCTATATAACGTTATTTTATAATATACATAATAGTTGGTCATAATTTAACGTCTAATTATTTTCTCTTTTTCCAGTTACACTGGTGGAGGTACGTATACTATATATATACATATATAACTAATTTAAATTAAACAATCTTGCAATAAAATGTCAGCTCTTGCAGTCTTGGACAAGGATATAAATAAATTTATGGAATACGGTTTTTTAAATTTTTTATGAAAGGATTGGCGCTATCTGGAGGAATGTGTTCTTACAGAGATGTGAGATCTGTAGTTGGTTCAATCGGTTTGAGTTCGTCAGCCATAGCTGCACACGAAAATTTTCACAAGTATGTACGAATATATATATAGAATTAAAAATTACGCGGGCTGATTGGATAAATAACTAATTTGAATTAAAGATTATACGGGATCCGTATAATTCAATTGAATGGCAAACACGCACTGAAATTCTTTTTTCCAGCTTTGGTTTTGGTCATGATATTGATCGAGGTTGTTCTAACGGGCGAAACATTATGTCAACATATGTTCCTTCTGGAAATGCTGCTTTCACATGGTCTAACTGCTCGAGGCAATACGCACAGAATTTTTTGAGGTGAATATAATATACAACTGATCTATTATTCGCCATAAAACAGGAATGAACTATCTGTACGCACGCAGTTATTGTGATGACAGAAACATCATGAGTCAGTTATAATTAGACAAACCGAGATCTGAACTGATGTCGTTGCAAAATATGCGATGGTCCTTACCATATAAAATACCGAAAAAAAATTCCGAAAAGATGCTTCTTGAAATTCGAAGTATGGATAAAATTAAGACAAAATTCCACATGCTTTTTTTGTTGACTTTGTCTTTATACTCAGATTGTTGTACAATAATAATTCAGTACATTGTACATACGGTGTGTACTTGTGACGGCTATGAATTTGATTAATTTGCAGTTTGAATTTTTAGATCACATTGGTCTCGTTGTCTAAACGATATCCCACAAGCCAAACGACCAACACTGCCACCCCTGATACAAGGTCAGTTTCCTGGAACCATATTTGATGGGGATAAACAATGTGAATGGAAACATTCATTCGGATATAAGCAGTGCTTGAAAGAGGTAACTTTCTTATAGTAACTTGAGGAGTATCTTATAAAGTATAATTTCCCGCGCTGATATATTTTCATTGCCAATGGTGGTAATTTTAACCAATAGAGATTTTGTGATCAGCTAGAGCAAATTAAAAGTCCATGACCTAGTCTTCATTCTTGCTGCAAACTTTTATAAGTGACCACTGACTAACGTAACGAATTAAATTTTATGGAAAACTGTTTCCGGGGGAATGTTGAAAACTGTTTCTGGGAGAATGTCAAACTGGATTCGCAAAAACATAGAAAAGATCATGATCACAATTGACCATAGAAGTCCTTACGCCACGTCACTGTCAGATAATGGATAGTTGACCCACATGTATCCCAGCCTCGTACCCAGGTGTCTTCTGCACAATTTATTTCAATTCAGTCTTCTTGCATAATTTATCCATTTCAGTACACGCGCGCGGGGGTGCTTGGGGAGGACGCGCATTTAAGATAAAAGCGCTTGTGTACGAGCCTGCATGTATCCCACAATGCACTGCGTATACCTAATGTTTTGATGGATTATTGTTATAAAATGAAAATCCATATTATTGCATTTTGGGTCAATTCGTGATCCACATATGTAAGCGTTCTATAGATAAAAATTTCTTAAAAAGATTGTGATTGTGATACTGGTGCATTGTAATATTCAGTATTTCTATGGGATATACCATGCAGTCTCTGTTCGTTGCAGTCATGTTCAACGTTATTTTGCACTCGTAATGGTATTACGTGCTACTCATCTGGCGGGACACCTGCTGATGGAACTAAATGTGGGGATGGAAAGGTGTGCAAGATTCTTTATAAGATATGCATGTTATCTGAATTATATCAATACTAATAATCATAGATACCATAAGTCCATGCGTACCATATGTAGTGTTGTTAAGACACACCTCTCTTACATAATTGGCATTAAGTATATTTCGATACTTTACTTAAGGGGGAGGAGTACAGTACGTTATTAATTTGGTTCAAGGAATAATGAGATATACTTAAAATTCAACACCATAAATTAAAAAATGCCCGACCTCTAACTGACGTTAATCTTCATTGTATGTGCAGTGGTGTATTCGAGGTTCCTGTGTAGACAATGGTTCACCACCAGTTCATGGTAACTGGGGATCATGGTCTGAATATACATCTTGCACGAGGACTTGTGGTGGCGGAGTTCAACATCGAACAAGAGAGTGTGACAATCCAAGGTATACTAAGTATTGTTTAAGGATATATTCATAAGTTATTTTTACAAATCCAATAACTAATTTATCTTGCAGTGTTGTAACGAGTCACGTACAGGTCGAGTCACGAGTCGAGTCGAGTCACTCAATGGTCGAGTCACGAGTCGAGTCGAGTCATTTCAGTCTCTGATCGAGTCGACTCGAGTCAGCGGCTTCACTCGAGTCGAGTCGAGTCGAGTCACTGGTTTAAGTCGAGTCGAGTCAATAGCTAAACTTGACTTGAGTCAGGGAATTTCATCAAGTCCACCCCACGCTTTCCGTGATGGTTCGTTACCCTAGCTTGTAGTCTCAAATTAGTAATCAAATTTACCTTTTAAATTAAACCAATTACTTTAGTCATTTAATTTAACAGTGTCTGGGCAGCTAGGCTGTACCAATATCACAGTTCTAGTCAGTATTAAGTACGACCTCGTATGCCTGCTGATGAGCTGATCGAGTGTACGTACATACAGCTAGCATAACTTGCAACTGGAGCCGGAATTAACAAAGAATAGACTTCAATAATCACGCTTTGTAAGTTAATTTAAAATGATATAACATGACTTCATACTGGCACTAGCGTTGTTTCTAAAAACAGAAATGTAACAGGCATGCCCGTCAGGGATGTATTCTATGCAAATCCCCATATATTTTCTGATAAAAAAGTTTCGAAGTCCTCATTGTTCACATGAAGGACTCATTAGGGCCATTTATACGGGACAAAATAAGACGCGACTTACATAAGACGCGACTTAAATAAGACGCGAGTTTGTCGTATAAAAGGTACAAAATTCTTATGTAAGATATAGACGCGTCTTACATAAGAACAGGACTTTTAGCTGTTCTTATTTAAGCCGCGTCTTAAATAAGAAATTTTAGACAAAAATTCTAACTACACATGCCCGAAACTTGAAACAACGTAAAATTATTAGCCTTGCATATTCGAACAAAAACAACCGAAACAACATTATAGCTATAGCAAGTAAATAAGAATAAATCCGTAGAGAACCATTTATGCGATAACTCAGCTTATATAAGACGCGTCTTATGTGCGACTTATTTTGTCCCGTATAAATGGCCCTAATGATCTTCCCAAGCAACACAATCACAATAATTTTGATGAATTTATTCTGTACAAGTTGTAGCTGATTTGACTCGAGTCATTTAGTGCAAAAATCAGAAAGTCGAGTCCGAGTCGAGTCATTGGGGCTGTTGACTCGAGTCGAGTCATTTTTCATATTGTGGACACGAGTCGAGGCGCTGAAAATAACCGACTCGAGTTGACTCGAGTCCGAGTCAATGACTTGACTCGTTACAACACTGCTAATTTGACAATGTTCCTAACTGCAAGCATATCAGGCAGGGCAAAGAATAAGCCATCTTTTTACCACTCCATGGGCCTGATTTAGATTTAAAATTATACCTTTCAGTTGAATTAATTGATGTTAATATTATTATTATTGCCTCAACGTTACTGCATGACAATTTTTTTTTTATTGTTTTGTAATCTATATACTTGTACTACCATTGGTTTAGCAAGACGTAAAATACTTAACTAGATTTTCATTACAAACAGTTACCAACTAGAATTTTCCCTCCCCTATTATACATTCAGACCGAAAAATAGAGGATTACAGTGTGTTGGGTCAAGCACTGGGCAGTACAGAACATGTAACACTGAAGTAAGTTTATTTTTTTTACTCGGCTACTCTATACTTTACTCTACTGTTCTTATTGTGTGATCTTTTTAGGTTGTAAGCTTTCAACGAGATTTAATCGTTTAGGGACACTATTATTATTATTTACATGGATTTGCTAATTGCTGCAACTTGAAATTCTATGAATCCACCAAAGTATTTTTTAATTTCAGTACAATTTCATGCATATATCGAATCAAGATTTTTAAAAAACTGAGTCAGTCAAGGCCTCTAAACTTACTGTCCTTTGCATGAAGTTGACCAAAAGGCAAAACGTTATTAGTATACTAAATCTGTATCATGTTATAACAGTACGATCATTTCGTCAAATTCCGCGTGTAAAAGAATTTATTATTTATCATCTCTTATAGGCATGTCCAGAGGGATCTGCGTCATTCAGGTTGCAACAATGCAAAAAGAAAAATGAAAATTTCACCAGCATTATTTTTCCAAGAGCAGGTTTTGTAATTTGTATACTTTTCAACCATGGCCCGTATATAATAACTCCATTTTGAAGTTATTTAAATAATTCAAAGCGTGATAGTCGTCCATAAATTCTTCCTATAAATGTTGACAAGATCGTTTACCAGACTTACCAGTCACAATTGCATATCTCTCAAGAAGTTCAAGAACGAAACAAGATTGCGAGAAACAGGACGTTAAAGTAAAATAATACTAAAAAGCAAAACAGACGTTTTATAAATTATCCATAGTAACACGGAAAAAGAAAGTGGACGTATATAGTTGTTGAATAGAATTCGTGCCAACCTCGTACCCAGGGGACGTCAGTACCGTGGAGGTAAAATGGCCCCGGGTACGAGGTTGACATGAATTCGTGCTTTCCATCCGAGTAAAATCGCGTTTCCAAAGTTTCGAAAGGATTTTCTGATTAGCTAATTAAAGAAAACAGCATAACACTTTTGTTATTGTGTTAGGAGTCTGAAATCTATTTTGTGCTGCATAATTGATTAAGTTCATCATACCGTACTTTCTTAAAATTGTAGCTTGCAAGCTATGGTGTCTAAAAAGAAATCTCGCATATTTACATGGTAGTGTGAAGGATGGAACTCGATGCAACAAGGATCCTTTCGATCTTGATGTGTGTGTCAATGGCAAATGCCAGGTTGGTGCAAACAACTGAGCTGTGAAAATATTGATGTGACCATTCTGGGACTGAAAATCAAGCCTATATATATATATATGCCTCTATGGAATATCGATGAATATGAATGAATATCGGATACCGATACACTTTATGCTATTCCCAACGACCATAAATTATGGCCATGGATGAATAAAAGAAGTCTGTTACTGGACAATTATGCATGTATTCGCAATTTTACGACATTCACTTATTTAATTTTGCGGAACATTCGCGGATTTGCCAGTCAGACAAAACTCGTCCATATAAGCAGTGCCGTTGGAACTAGGGAGCCATGTACATCCCTCCGTGTGCCGCTCAAATTAGAATTGTTGGCACTGTTGTGACCACAGGGGGCCCATTCCGGGTCTTATTGAAGTTATGTATTAGAATTACGTATGAAATATATAGCTCAGTGTTGAAGCCTGCGATTTGCGAGCTGTGTGCGGGCTAACGTGCGCGTTGAATACACAATAAAGAAAATAATAAAGGGATGAAACATCAACGAGTGCCTGGAAGCCCAGAATTCAAAACACAATATCAGTCTGCTTAAATAAAAAGGTCAGAGTTTTATTATGTTGTAAGGTCCACTATAGGGCCTGTTCTTTCATATCGTCTAGCCAAAACCTTCCAAATAGTTGCTAACGAGGAGAAATTTCTCGATTGATCGCATAGCAGTGAACGGTTGGATGTGTTCCACAGGTTGCTATGACATGCTGAAATGCCTACTTATTTCACTACTACACACTCCTGACCACAGATCTCTAAAATCATATGAAAAATATTTAATAGTATTGTAGCTGTTGGCATATTCGAATACAAAACACATATAAAATTTTAAACACATATAAAACAACATTTCAAAATCAGTGATCGGCCGGTCGCTCGGCCGGCCGTGAAAATTTCAAAAAATATATGAATTAACTTACCAACACTACCAGTCAACCGCAATATTTTTTTGGATTTTGCAAATTAGTTGCAGATGACAAGTTTGTAATCAGAAAGGTAATTTCTGAAAGAAGTTCTTTTGTTGAAATTTATAGAAACTTAAGTCGATAATTTGACAATGTCATATAGCAACCTATGGAACAAACGCATGCTTCCAGGCGCTCGTTGATGTTTCATCCCTTTATTATTTTCTTTATTGTGTATTCAACGCGCGCGTTAGCCCGCACACAGCCCGCAAATCGCAGACTTCGTCACTGAGCTATATATTTCATACGTAATTCTAATACATAACTTCAATAAGACCCGGATGGGCCCTCTGTGTTGTGACCAATTAGTCGACAATGTGAAATCAAGTCTAGATTCGTCTTGTAAGCTGAGTGCTGCATATATATATATATATATATATATATATATATATATATATATATATATATATATATATATATATATATATATATATATATATATATATATATATGTATATGTATATATATACATATATATATGTATATATGTATATATATATATGTATATATGTATATAT